TTTTTTGTACTGTTCAAATCAAGCCTTGCTAGCATCAAATCTTTAAGGAAACTTCAAGCTAACCTAAGACTAACAATAACCAAAAGGGGTTGGTTTGCACTTCACTGCAGGGTTGACTTTTTTGGAAGAACTCACAGCATTAACTATTTCTCTGACGATGATTGGTACTTTGGCTTTGAAGGTAATATTCTCCCATTGTACATTCATCTCCTACTCTATACCTTGGCTTATAATTCATGTGAAAACGTGCTGGGATAGAGGGTGACCAGATCTCCCTGGGCCACTTCCAGCCAAACACTTTCAGCAGAGACAACTCATAGTCCAGTCTCAATTGTTATATTTTGTAGTTACCATTAAAGGGTAAGATCAAGACAGCAAACAGTTTCCTCCTTTACAATTTAGCTTACAATCCAATCTTTAAGACTTTAATTAGTATCTTGATGAGTTTTATATAAGAGTTCTTTCGTTCAAATGGCAGCAGAAGCCTAAATTTAGATTTGTACCCAAAATTGAACATGAAACTCTTTTTGTCAGAATTGTACTTTTTCAGACCAATGTGTGGGCGTGGCAGTAAAAAAGGCAAGACACAAACAGACCCTGTAGTCCTTAATTGGAACAGAAGCTTCTCTGGACTGATCCTGAGTGTCCTAACAAGCTTTCATGGATGATCACAACAAAAGCTAACACTTATGAGCACTTATATGCCAGTCACCATCTGTGCTCCCCACACATATTAAGTCAGATAATCCTCACAAATCTTTTACATCACCATCAACATCCCCTCTTATAGATAAGACAAGGCTAGCACAGAGAAGTAAGTAATTTATCAAAGTCGCACAACCAAGAAGCAAGGAACTGAGACTTGGGCCAAAGCATCTAACTCCAGAATCTGCCCTTAATGTTGTACTTCACTGAGTACTAATCAGAAAGCATGATGCCACCTGCCATAGATAACACAAAGTACAATTCCAAATGATGAGCCAGGTTTAAGAATCAGTATAAAAAGAGCTGAAGAACAGTGAAAAAGATTAGGATCTTTTTAATAAGTCACAAAAATAACATGTTCACAGGAAAAAATGTATAAAATGCTAAAAAAAAATGTTTTAAAGAAAAATCTCATGTAAATTTGCTCCATCCACAGGTCTCATTCATCTGCCATTTATCTACCTATAAGTCCAAACACTTTTACCAAGGGTTGTCATTGACTCTGTGAAGCAAGTAAAATTGAACAGTTCACATAAGCTAAATTTTAGTTAATTTAGAAGAGGAAATAAAACATACACTAAAAAGTTTTATTATCTACAACTTGAGGCAAACTGTCATTTTAAATTATACAAATCGAATATCACAGTTCTAGACTATACTTTTAAATTATACAAATAGAGGATTTTAGGGCAGTGAACCTGTTCTGTGTGATACAGAATTTATAGCAGCAAACCTAAACTCTAAAGTGAATCAGCAGCTTTGGGTGATACTGATGTATCAATTGTCAATTCATTAGCTATAACAAATGCAACCAGTTGGAGCTAGGATTTTGGTAGTAGGCAAGGCTTTGCATATTTGGAGGCAAATAGTTCTACCTTCTGTTCAATTCTGCTGCAAATTTAAACCAACCCTTAGAAAGAAAACACTTAATAATAATAATGAACAACTACATATCAAAGACATTTTACAGGGGTGGAGTGAGGAATAGGATCGATAATGGGGAGGTGGCGGTATGGATTTGGTGATGGAAGCCCACAGGGATTACAACTGAGATGAAAAAAGGCACAAAATGATGTAAAAATAAACTATTGTTTAAAAAAAACATTTAAAACAAACAAAACATTAATACAGTATAAGAAAAAATGATGCAAAGTTAAAGTGACGAGCAACGCTTTATGAGTGTTCAGTTTGTGACACAGAGTTCTAACAAACTCTATAGGAATGAATGAACTTCAGTCCTCACTACACCTAAACAAGGTGAGATTATCTTTGAGTCTCTCTTTATAGATAAGAAAGCCAGTGAGCACAGAAGCTAAATCACCACAAGTCACATGCAGTAGTGCTGGAGTCAGAATTTAAATCTGAACACTGACTTCCAGAAGCCACAGTCATAACCACTATTGTCTTCTGCCTCTCTGGAGTTTTAGGACAATTAACAATGAAGAGACATCTTCTGGGAGGGGCAAGGTCCAGCAAGATCAGCATGATAAATGTTTCACCAAAGGCACAGAGAGCATTTGCAGCCGTAGAGACCAAAGAGCACTCTATTTTTCCCCTTCCCAAAGTAGTTCAGAGTTGGTGATACTACATGGTCACGTATCCACAGTGCAGAATGCCAGATTTCTAGTGATTAGGTGGAAGATTCACTGTACGTGAAATGACAGGCCCAGCACTGCTGAGCTGGCTCTTCAGACCACAGCTGGAGATTCTTGTCTCCAATTAGTCACCTTGTTCTGTGCCTCCCTCTTCCTTCTCACAGCTCCTCTATCTCAAATCCCTTCCCAGCCAGGGCTTGTCCCTCCAGGATTGCCCCAGGACAACACCCTGCCAGCCTCTCCACACTCCTCCTGGCACCCATACCCAGGTTGCTGTGTGACCCTGGAGGTCTGGCCTGAACTGGGACATTCTGAGCTGAACCTCAGAAGGTGGGAAAGTTCAGTGTTTGCCTGAGGCACAGGCATTCCACAGTAACTCTTCCATCCCAGTGATGTTCTCACTGTATATTTTAGGCCTGCGACAGGCCTACCTTCCTCACTCATCCTCCTCCAAGGGGCATTAGCAAGATTCTTTCAGATAGAAATTTCTTTCTGTAGAACTTTGTGAATGTTCACTTATTTTGCAAGCTTAAAACAATACCATAATTTATGATAAATAGTAAATACATGCATCTCAGTACTACTCACTACATTTCAGTTTTTCTAAAGTCTATAAAAGTACAAAAAAATAAAACTTTTCCAAGTTATACTTTAGTACATATTTAAAAATGATCTGTGGTAGCTTGCCTCTCAAGATGGCTACCATCTGTACAAGCCCCAAAGCCAAGAGTGACAATAATAAATTACTGTTTCAAGTCATTATGCGGGTTGGCCTATTACATAGCAATAGGTAACTAAATTATAATTATTCACATTAACTCCATAACTCTAAGAATCTAGAAAAACTAAAATGCTGATCAATATTCATGGACAAAATGGTTAAAATGTCATTGGTGGCCCTCCCTGATGGCACAGCGGGTTAAAGCACAGCACTAAGAAGCTTAAGCCAATTCCGCATGAGTTCGATCCCCACCTGCCCCAGAGGAGATCCACATGGCATGGCAGACCTCTCCTGACCCACCTGCTGCTCCCCTCAGCAGTATACTTCCTCGATCTGCCTGTTCTGCTCCCCTCTCTGTCTCTGGTGAATATTCTCACCCTCCACATCTCTGGCCTGTACCCCAGTTCTGTATGAATAAATAAATAAATATTTTTTAAAAAAAATGTCATTGGTGATCATTATAAAAGTTTTTAAAAGAATAATATTTAAATAAATTGTGCCTATGACTTGTTAGATAATCATTCAATATTTTAATATCATCAGAACATACTAATTGCTCTAACCAACATTTAAAAAAGGATTGAGGCCCTCCCTGGTGGTGCAGCGGATTAAGGCACAGCACTGAGAATCTAAAGCCGCTTCCGCATGAGTTCAATTCCTGCCTGCCCCGGAGGTGACCCCATGGAGCAGCAGACCTCTCCTGACCCGCCCGCTGCTCCCCTCAGCGGTGTACTTCGTGAATCTGCCTGTTCTGTTCCCCACTCTGTCTCTGGTGATGCCTCTCACCGCCCCTGAGCCTCTGGCCTGTACCCCAGTTCTGTATGCACTAATAAATCTTTAAAAAAAAAAAAAAAGGATTGAATCCCCCAAACCTGTAAATACTATAAAATATATATGGTCATATAATGTACATATGTGTAGAGATGATTACAAGTATATTTGCCAAAATATATTTGTTTTACCATGCTTCTGTTCATTCACACTAATGAAAGAGTAATGCATTTAATTGGAATATCTAAAACCAATAATACTTGAACATTTCATTAAGGCTTTCCTAAGTTATATAAAAAGAGAATATGCCATGGTAACTTTGAAATTGGTGTTTTGTTTTTCAATGAAAATGGAAAACTTAAAAACTAAAAATCTTTCATGATAAGATTTGTAAGTAATTTAGGTTAACCTTAGTCTATCAAACTTTAAACTAAGCACTATATACTTTAAACTAAGTAGTAGGAATGAAATGATTATTCTTTTCTTCTTTCTATTTTTCTGAATTTTTTTCCAGTAAACATGTAGTTTTATTTTTTCTGATCATAAGATAAAACATCAGACAATACAAAAGGACATCAAGATAGAATGACAGTCAACCAGGCCCACCTTCTGGAAGTAACCACTGTCAACTTCTAGTGTTAACATCTAGGATTTTTTCCACTTTAGATTCCAGTATATAAATGTGTACTTTCAAGCAGGCTAGAATAACATACATTCTGTTTTGTATTCTGATTTTTGTGCCTGTTTTACAATCACAGGGAAATAAATCTTCAAACATAAAACTGATGAAATTCTTCTCAGAACATTGCATTGCCTTGTATCACTCCTTTGGTACAAGTTCCCAGAGATGTGTTGATAGTCACAAATAATGTAATCACAAAAGCAAGACATCATGCCCCCAAAATAACTGAGTAATTGTGCCATTAAATAATAACCCATATACTAGAGAAGAAGAAAGTATTTAGCATGTTGAAGGAAATGCTTAATGCTTACCCTTATGGAAGCCAGTCTGCTTTAGAGGACCTTGAGCCAGACACCCACCCCAGCAAATGAGATCTGTTAAGCATAGAGATTACTGGCAGAGTTGTGTGGGGTAAGCTGGCCTGTGTTAGAACACCTCCTCCTTATCTGACCTTGGGAAAATAACTTCACTTCCATAAACCTCCATTTCCTTATGTGAAAAAACAAGAGGCAATTCTATCACTCACCTTAGAGGGATGTAATGCAGATTGAGTTGGACAGTCCATGTCTAGGTTGTGGTGATGTCATTATTCTTTCTTCTAGAAAGGGTCATCGCATTTGATTTTGCCTCCTTGTTCTGACAATCACTCAGATAACAACCACTTAATCCTTGCCCATATTCTGCCTGCATTCTATTAAAAAAAAAAAGTAACTTGGAAAAAAAGAAAAAATCAACAGGAATCAGTCATTTTACACTTAGAAATATGGATCACATTTTTAAATGTTCCACAGTCCATTTGCATGTACAATGGGCACTACCAGAGCTCAGAAATGGGAGGAAAGATTGTAACAGGGTGGTCCTTAGGAAAAGGAGAAGTTCCAGGTTTCCTGCTCCACCAGAAGGAGGGTGGAGCTGAGCAGAGAAAAAGGAGAGAAGAGAAGGAATCAGAGAAGAGAAGGAAGCTGGATGGAGAGCCAGAAGGAGACCTGAGGAAGCCACATGGAGCAGCAAGCATGTGATGAAGAAACCATGCTTGTTTCCTGGCCCTGGACTGGTTAAGGCAGATGTGGGTTAGAGACCCATGGGGAGGTGACTATGGCAGTGTTTATGTTGATTTTGATTTTGCTCTTCCTCCCAGGCTTCTGTGGCCATTTCTGACCCTTTTCCAGAAGGTGCTTTAGTCTTGTGGCAGGCTTTCAGGCCTTGCTTTGGGCCAATCCCTTTTGGGTTGACTTTTACCCACAAGGGGATGGGTAACTTCAGGTGTTTGATTTAGAAGTTATATTCTTTGTGTTCTGTATTGTGTATTCACTGTATTAAAGTCCCTTTTCATTAAAATTTTATGTTTTGTCTTGTTGCAGCAGATGGCAGAACCCACTTAGAGCAGGCAGATTTGGGGCTTTCTCCCTGTCCTGGAACCGATTTGGGGTGTCCTGTAACAGATTTGGTGTACTATAACAGATTTTGTCCTCTAACAGATTTGGGGTGCACTACAACAAGATTAACATCTGAGATTTGTCAGGCATTAGACTCAACAACCCTGGGTTGGGGGAAGGGAGGGCTAAAAATCAGGGAGGGGTAAAGGGTGGCTACAATTGCTGTTTGCTTTCTACATGCCCAGAAGCACACTCAGGGCAGTTATAGAACTGAATCCTCCCTACAAAGACTCTTAGTCCACTTTTACAAATGAGAAACCCAAGGAGTAAGGGAAGCAAACAGCTTGCCTAAGGACACACACCTGTAAGTGACTGGACCAGGATTTGAACCCTGTATTTGATTCCTACTTTGAAAGTTCAACCACAAGGATTATCTTCCCAACACTTAAGGGATTATCCTAACTGTTACCCAAGGTTAACACCTAAAAGGTTTCCATGCTGGAATTTTATAAGATCTTTTCTGGAGTATTCACTCCCTCATTATCCCACAAAAGTTCTTTCCCTACTCTGAAGCTTATTTCATGGCTGTACAATAAAATTACCTGGAGACGATTTTCATAGGCCAGTCCTCTCTGTGGGGGTTGTAATGTACACTATGAATGAGTGGATTCTGACACCCCTGCCTAGTGAGGCAGCATGGATGCCCACTGAGGTTGACAGTGCCAGCCGTATCATGGTTTCCAAACAGACTCTCAGGTGGTTTCTGGAGTCCCTTGGCTCCCCAAATTCCTACTCCATTCATAGCACCTGCAGCTTTTGTCCAAGATTTGTGCTTCTCTGTCTCTCTGGTTGATTCTTTGCTCATCAAATCTTTGCTGTCACCAATGACCTTAAGTCACTTTCCTGAATGATTCACCTCCCCCCTTTCAAAGTTTCCTAGAAAGCTTTGGTGAAAGCGTGTTCTTTTCCTTTGTTTCAGGGAGCTTGGGAAACCACTTTCTGTGGTTTCAACAATAAAAAGGAAAAAAAGAAAATAAACAGAAAAGAAAAAGGATGCTCAAAATCACCATTCATGGTTACTAGGAACCTACCCTATCTGTGATTTTTCAGAATAAGGAAAGTTTTGTCAGATGCCTCCTGCCACCAGAATTGCCTAGCAGGAATTTAATGGTATGTCCTGGTTCGAGGGTTATTCTGTATCTTGGGGGCTGGCTGACCCTGAGAGGCTGTAGTTTGCTTTCTAAAAGTTATGTGACATAAACTGTGAAAGACTTATTACAGGAATTTTATTTGTCAAAGAGCCTTCAGTTCTTAAATATCTCACACCATCTGTTACAAGGGGAAATCCCACTGACATGTTGACCAGTAAAACCGTTATTAAAATATGACTCAAACGAATGCACTAGGTTTTCTGCTTAAAGTGAACTCTCACTCTTTCTTGTTTTGGTTGGTTCCTCCCTTCTGCATGTTTTATATTCACAAAAGGAATATCATTCTGAAAATACTGCTGTGACTCATTTAAGTTTCTTTCTCCCCTCTTCAGTTATTTGTACCTCAAATAGCTCACAGAGGCATCAGTCAATCTAAAACTTTTACTATTTTTCACTGATAAGCCCACAAAGAGGGGCTTTTATTTGCAATGAATTGGCAGTTCTCTCTGGCCCTCTCTGACAGTTTAACATCTATGGCCACGATGAAAGCTTAAAATAGCTCAACCTTCAGCTCTGTCTCTGGCGGAAACCAGGAATAAGAATAATGATCTTGTTGGAACAACCTGAAACTGACTCCAATCTCCACAGAAGGTTTTTGCACTTTGCATCCCAGAAGAATCTGAGATTTGAAGTGGAATGAAGGAACTGAAACCTCAATACTGCTGTGCAGGTTCCTTTTGAAAGGGTTTCGACATGATCCCTCTGTACCTCATTATTAATTTACCTTTTGCTGAGGCAGAAATGAAAGAAAAATGCCCAAGAACCAACTCTTAAAGAGGCCCTACAAGAAAAATGATGGGCTCTAACCTGCTGTTTCTGAAAGGTAATCCTAGATTAGCACAAAATCAGGAACAAATTATTCCAAGCAACACAAGCTTTTTTTCCAAATTGACCCACCAAAATACACAGGAACCAATGGTTAAATAAGGCTTCAAGCCAAAGCATTTAAACTTGGGTACATGTTCATGTACTCATTACTGAATGACAAACACTAAGACATGTGAAATTCGAATTTACAAATCATACAATTTATTATTAAAATCACTCAAAATTGTATATCTGTTGTAATTACTAGCATCTCCTGAAGAAACACTAATAAATAAGATACACTCCATGTTACAGAGGACATGGAATAAACTGAAATCAGAATCAGTCATCCAAGAGATAATTATGGCATTTTAGTATTTAAATATATTTGCTTAAAACTGCCCCATGGATATGTCTGCACATGTGTAGATACATACAACTGGTTTTGGACCAATAATTATGAGCAATGGTTACTAGTTTTCATTTCATGTTCAGTTTAAAGTTGCTCAATTGTGCTTTCTACCTGTGTACTAAAGACAGGTTTTTTAGTATAAAAAGTGTATCTGGGCACTGAGGAAAGATCCCAATTTAACTTTTTCCTCTTCTTTGTTATGTTAAAAGCCAAATATATGCTATTTTAAAATTATGTGTCATTATCTGTTCTATCCAAAAAATTGGGGAAGGTGGAAGCCATCACATTAAACTTAAGAGTTAATGGAAAAACAAGTGAGACATTCTTTAGGATTCCATATTTTTTCCACTAGCAAATTTATTTCACTGCCCATTCATGACCAAGAGATTTTAGTTTTGTTAACAATTGTTTATATTCTATTTTTTTTAAGTTCTGAAAATTTTTAAAAAGCTACCTCAACATCCACCCAAAAAGAAAGCTTTTTTTGAATGTTAACAAGTTATCCCATGGTTATCTTTTAAAAAAGAAAAAGAACATTCTTGTTTCATGAACTCTGTGCAGAATTTGACTGTAGTATGCTATTCTTCATTGCTATGTGTACTTTTGTGCTTCTTTGTTCCTCACAAAGTATTAATGTTTTGTTTTTTCCATTGTCCAGCCCCCAAGAAGCTTATCTGAAGAAACAGCAGTCTGTGCTGGGTTTGAATTCACCATTAGCACTCAGGGTAACCTCAGTCCACAGAATTTGACCAGACAAGTGAAGCAATGTTTGTGGAGTCCAGAGGCTGAATCCCCTCCACTACAGAAGAAACGTCCCAATTGTCCGTCCTCAGCAAAAACTGCCATGATGCCCCATAAACAAGCAGTTGTCCGTTGACTGTTATAAATAGACTTTAATACACAACCAGCTGTCTAAGAGAGTTTATAACTGTTGACCAGAGACACAGTAGGGAAGGGAAATGGAAGATTTCCACATGGCAAGAGAATGGCTTGTCTGCAGTGAATGAGGTCGCACACAGAACCACCCTCCCTCAGTTAAAAAGTTAAAATAGGCCCTCCCTGGTGGTGCAGCAGGTTAAAGCACTGCACTAAGAAGTTTAAGCCACTTCTGCATGAGTTCGATCCCCGCCTGCCCCGGAGGAGATCCACATGGCGTGGCAGACCTCTCCTAACCTGCCCGCTGCTCCCATCAGCAGTGTACTTTGTTGATCTGCCTGTTCTGCTCCCCACTCTGTCACTGGTGAATCCTTTCACCCTCCACGTCTCTGGCCTGTACCCCAGATCTGTATGAATAAATAAATCTTAAAAAAAAAAAAAAAAGTTAAAATATGTCAGCCTGCCTGGATTCAAGCTAAAATTAGGGGGCAGTACAGTGGGTCTCACATGGGAGTCTTTGCAATAGATAACTATATTCTCTCATGGCTATCTCTCAATTAAGGCTTGTGAAGTAAGTGGTAGTTACCAACAGAGCGCCTGTGAAATTCTTGTCAAAGGAGATACCTTAGAGACATTTGACAAAGCAAGATGCATCAGATTGACTGTGATAAGTGCTAACCTCTACCCACATCTAGTTCACATTTCCTATACTGTTTTCCTTTATCATTTCCAAGATGACTCCTTTTTCTTTCCCAACCTTCCCAGATAAGAACTCTCTTAAGAGTGTTCTTAACAGTTTCTTTTAACCAGGCCAAATCCCTGGGGCCAAGTTGGTGTCTCAAAAATCTGATGGGGTGTGACAGAATACAGGGCCTTTCCAGCCTCAGGCACATGTCTCAGCACTGCAGCAGATCAAGACCAGGGCTGCTGAGTTCCGACCAGCCAGCCAGACATAACTGGATGTGGCTGACACTGATGGCAGACAAGGTGTTGTTGCAAAGCTCAATAGAACTGAAGGGAGGTGTGGGGGCTGGAGATGCAGGGCAAGCAAGAGAGACACAGCACAGAGTCCAGAGGGAAAGAGTGATCAGAATGTTTCTTCCCCCAGAAAATAACCAGGGTTAAAGAACATAACGCCTACCTTAACAGAAAAGAGTACATTATGTACCTTTTTCCATATGTCTGTGCATGAAAGTCTTGATACATGAAAGTTTTTTCAAATCTGTTTGCAAATCTGTCTGTACCCCTAAAAATTTAAACAGTATTATAATTTTTTCTTAAAAATTCAGAGCAGAGGGTCCTTCTTGGTGGCACAACAGATTAAAGCACAGCACTAAGAAATGATTTGCAGTCACTGCGGCGTGAGTTCGATTCCCAGCTCCAGAGGTGACCCACATGGCACAGCAGACCTCTCCTGACCCACCTGCTCTCCCCTTAGCAGTATACTTTTTCAATCTGCCTGTCCTGCTCTCCACTCTGTCTCTGGTGAATCCTTTCACCCCTCACACCTCTGGCCTCTACCCCAGTTCATATATGCATAAACAAATAAATCTTTTTTAAAAAAAATCAGTGCAGATGGGCCCTCCCTGGTGGCACAGCGGGTTAAAGCACAACACAAAGAAACTTAAGCCACTTCCGCATGAGTTCGATCCCCGCCTGCCCTAGAGGAGATCCACATGGCCCCCACCTGCCCTGGAGGAGATCCACATGGTGAGGCTGACCTCTCCTGACCTGCCCGCTGCTTCCCTCAGCAGTGTACTTCATCAATCTGTCTGTTCTACACCCCACTCTGTCTCTGGTGAATCCTCTCACCCTCCACATCTCTGGCCTGTACCCCAGTTCTGTACAAATAAATAAATTTTTAAAAAAAATCAGTGCAGAGATAAAAAGAAGCCTATCATAACTGAGCTCTCCAGAAGAAGTGCCCATCCTATGAGTCCAGCTTACACTGAAATTAACTTGAGTGAGAAGTTCACAGAAAGAAATAAAGGTTTCTACCTCCTGGTTGAGATGTGCAATTTCATACCAATACTTTTCTTGTTGTTGTTTAGAATTTCTTTTACTTTAAAGACTGAAAAACTTCAAGCTAAGGAAGCAGAGGAACATACCTCTAGAAATAAATACCCAGATTGAGATGTTTAGGATTTCCAGTACAAATCTAGTAGGAGTAGACAATGACTCCTTCCTCAGTTTCCTCTTTTATGAAGCAACATTTATCCAGAACATTGTCTGATATTTAATGAGAAGAGTGTCTTGCACCTGGCACTTAGTAGTATAACCATCTTCAAATTAATGCACTTTAAAAATTCCCATTACTCTTCTTTTTCTTCCAGTATAACTTTGCATTGAAGTATAATCTCAGAAAGAATCACAGTAAATATACAGCTTGATGATTTTTCATAAACTGAACAAACCCAAGAGACCCATGTCCTGATTAATAGGAGCATTCATTATTAATTACCTTAAAAACTCCCTTATACTCAAAACAAAAAAATAATTCCCTTAACTCTCCTCAACCCTAACAGTAGTCATTATCCTAATAATGTTATTTTGTTTGTCTTAAAATAGACATTACTATTTTTTTAATGGCAGCAAAAAATTATGTAAAAACTACCATCTCAATCATTTTTAAGTATAGTTTTATGGCATTAAACTCATTTAGACACCTCTAAAACCCTTTTTATCACCCCAAACTGAAACTTTACCCATTAACCAACTCCCCAACTCTCAGAGCCTGTCAAACACCATTAAACTCTGACTCTGTGTAGATATCGGGTATCTCATTTAAGAGCAACCATAGAGTGTTGGTACTACTTTTGTTCTTTATAAAAGTGAGGTCATCTAAGCATGAACACTACTGAGTCTGGCTTTCACCTCCACATCATATCTGTGGGATTCACTACTTATGTTGCAAACAACTATATTTATTCTTATTGAATACTATTTCGCATGAATATAACATTATTTATTCTACTGATGATAGGCATTTTGGTAGTTTGGTAGTTTCCAGTTTGAGGGTTTTACATGTGCTGTATTTTTGGTGAAATAGATGCCTGGGAAAGAAATTGCCAGGTCACAGGAAATGTTTGTGTCCAGCTTTAGTACAGTTCTAATTTTTTAATAGAATTTACCATTCATACATGACCTGGTCTGACATGTGACTTATGTAACCTCTTTCATGAGAAAAGCAAATTAATATTTGCATGCACATAATGCTGTGGATTCTGCTCAAAACAGTTCTCATCCTCCCATGGTTTACCTGTTCACTCTCCCCACCTCTAACCTATAGCCAGCTCCATTAAGCTTTCTACACTTACTGGAAAAATGTTTTCTCACTCTCTGCTTTCCTTAGGGCTTTATGGTGCTGCATTGTTCAACTGGAAACCACCTAGTTTCTTTTACCTGGTTTGCAAGCTGCTCATCATTCAACCTTCATCTTCTTTGAAATGTGGTCTGAAAGCATTTAAGTAGTACATTCCCATGAATGTATTCTCTGTTGGAATATTAATTCTGAGGTTGAAGCTCTAATGGTCTCCTTTAGCTGAGGTCTTAAAACCAGACTTCTGGATTCTTTTTCTCATAGAAGAATTAAATATGTTTTGAATTATCCTGACATAAAATAGCTATACAACATGATATCAAGAATATAAAATTGACCCTGGAAAAATAGAATTTAGGGATGTTGACCCCCAGAGTAGAACTACCCATAGACCATTACAGTTAGCCTCTGCACTTGCATACCCACATGCACATTCCACATCTGGGATTCAACCAACTACAGATGTGAACATCATCAATGTGAAACCCACAGTGAGAGAAAAAAAAAATCCCAGTATAAGCAGACCAAGCAGTTCAAACCCATGTTGTTTTAGTCATTGTATGCAGAACCAAACTGTGTAGATAGACTTTTGCTATCAAATTCAATCTACTTTCTGATAGTTTATTGTGTATAACACCATTTTGCTGTTCTAGATACTACCAAGGCTAGGGAGTCACTAGTATTTAATAACAGCACCAGTCCAAATGCGAAAGCAAAAGCTATTCAGTGGAACTTTTCCAAAGGACTAAAAAGCACTGAAATCTGAGTTGGTTATTAACAAAAATGCAATGCTGAGCCTACACAATTTCAGTTACAGAAGGGAAGAGTCCTAAGGCTCATGGCATATAGATGTGTGCAGATAAAAACCCCATTCATATTTGCAACAGTAACCTGGACCATGCAAGAATAAATCTAAGTAGAGATAGTTATGACCTGAATTTTAAAAAATGAGGAAACTTACTCAGGTCTTTTTGTTCTTCATTAAATGTAAAGTTATATGGATGAGTCTTAAATCTTTTCTCCACAAATTATCCTATAACCTCAATATAAACACAAATCAGATTTTATGGCACTGACGCTTTTTCTAAAATAAACTGGGAAAAATACATAAGAATTGATGGAAGAGGGTCCAGTAAGATGAGGGCATTGTGAAGCCAGCAGGCTTGCCTCCTCCACATGTTTACAACCAAATTACACCTCAACAGACAATCATCCTTGATGATAGATGACTATTGATCAAGAGTGGCAGAAAATAGTGGGGTAGAAAAAACTAATTAGACTGAGTTTGAAGCCATATCGGGGTAGTGAGACCATGAAAGGGAGGGGCGGCTGCTTCACAGTGTCAGCTGTTGTTAACTCAAGAGCACACACCCACAACAGGGACTTTAAAACTTAAGTACTGGCAGGGTGCATGTCAGGCAAAGCAGTAATTATCTCAAGGCAGGCTTAGTGGTAGAAACTGGATCTTTTGTTTTACACTCTTTGCTATTCTTGAAATGTAAAGCAGAAACTACTTCCTTAAAGTTGTAAAATTTCAGTGACAAAAGTACTAAAAATTTAGGGAACAAGATAGTGCACTCTTATGAAAATCCACTAGGCAGCTTATACAAAGCCTGAGAAAAACAGGAACCAGACAAGCCTTCTCTAATTTAGCTCCTATCCAACCACACCTTACACTGCACAAATTATGGGGCAAGATGCAGGTTAATGTGGAAAACTGAATATCTGAGAACAATGAATATTTCACAATCTTAAGATTATTTTCAAGTGTAGCTTATTTAGTCCAAGGATTTTGACGAAAAATGTAATATTAAGGCAATGAGTAAATGCAGACTGTCATCTTTAGCTCAGTTTCTCTTCTGCACCAAATCCAACTAATTATTTTTGCATTGATGTCTGCATTACAGTACTTCCTTTTCATTTGCAGCTAAGCTATAGAAATGAGAACCAGAAGTCACTTGAGTGAACACTATGAACAAATTTATTCCTAAGAGCATTGGAGCTGCTTTCTTTTCTCTTAAATCTTAACAGTAAGATTTAAGACCAAGTGTACATTCATTTATACTGATTCAGATATACAGGTAGTAAGAAGTATATTTCTAACACAAGAGACCCACACACTTGTACTATAATTAAATACCATATTAACTTAGTAAGCCAGTCACTAGGCAGAAACTTGCTTAAATGAGAGAATTAGCTTTTCCTTGAGGCCAAAGGCCCCTGTTTCCAAAAGCCAGTCTCCAGTTATCTGTGCCTTGTTGTCTGGGGTCCTCATCTAAAGCCTGTGACCCACGCCCATGGCCAGCCAGGACCTGGTACTCCATTGACTAAAGACCTCATTCTCTCCAAAGAGGCTGGGAATACTAGGTGAGAAGGAACTGACATTCCAATACCCAGACCAGCTTTGAGCCAACCCCAGGCCCCTGGTACAGAGAAGAGCAAGACCAGGATAATAGCTTGAGAGTTCCCAAACCAGAGACCTGTTGAACGCTAGTAGTACTTTTCCCCGACCGCAAGGGTAGACTGCAAGGGTAGACACATCTATTATCAGTTTCTTCCCCACCCATGTGACCCCCAATGTGGCCAACACCCAATCCAGACCAATATTCATACATTTAAATACACAATGGACCTTAACTCTCCTAGTGGTGAAAGGGATGAGAACAGTATTGGAGTACAAGCATACAAGGAAGGGTTCCCTTTATTATTCCATCCTTCTTACTATATTTTGAGAAATAAATCCAAACCCACTGCCCTTCAAAAGACTTTCATGTTGTGAGAAACAACCCCAACTCATCATGGGCGTCCAAGATTTGAGTGGCAGGAGTCCAGGTGTTTCAAAAGCAGCCACACTTTTCTATCAAGGATGTGTTCATATGGTGCACACTCATCTTGTGTTCATCATCCTGGATCATCAAGGAAAAAATCCTGACCTTGATAGGACCACAGACCTGGAAGATCCCGGAACAGGTAGGGGCCTCTCTCTGCAGAAACAAAGAAGCATGGAAGCCATGAGAGCCACCATCACCTACTTCTGGGCATTAGTAGTCTGGGGGGGCGGAGGGAGGGAAGCGGGATGTGTGTGAAAGGAGGAGGGTATGGGAGACATTTAGAGCTGCTTAATAACCTCAAGAAACTAATGTGTCTTTGGGCAACACAGGGGAAGATGTGCTTGGTAGCACTTGTACCACCTTCAGTGGCTTCTTTGACTCAAGAGGCAGCTGAGCACATAGGGGACTCCCAACACAATCCTACAAGAACAAGTTTCCATGTCTCACCTTGTGGCACTGGAAGTTGGTCTCCTGGTACTCACTGTTCACGGTCAGGCAGATGCCCTGACAAAGAGGAAAGTGGAAATACTTGGGAGCAACAATGCACTCGCCCCAGGCAGCTCTATGGAGGTTCACCTTCCGATCATGCAGATGACAAAGCTTCTCTGCCTGGCTAGGCTCCACCTGCCCATAACGCTGACCTTGAGGCCCCAGGAACAGCTGTTCCACATCAGGAGTAAAGGGCTTCTGCACATAAGGCAGGTGAAGCAAATGCAGCCGTGTAAGGAGCGGGGACACCAGCAGCAGCACGAGATCCCGCTTGTCTTCACTGCCGACACACTCTCGCAGTTTGGCGTCAGCCAGAGCAGTAGAGAGGAACTTTTCCTCTTCCAGGAGGGTGGGGACGAGTTCCATCCAATAACTTAATAAACAGTAGATCTCTAGCAATGACCCTTTCTCTAGCTGATAGGATGGAAAAATAATGGGAAAAGAACCCAGGAGGAATCTTCTGGGGCCTCTTCGAGGTTCCTCAAACTCTAGAACCATCTCTGTAGCATGGGGGGCAATGGGCACCCAGGCCCACAGCTGTATCAAGGAAACCCCCGAGAAGGGTGCTGCTTCAAAACTGAGAAGCCAGTAACCATGTAGGAACTGAGCACCTGTAGGAAGAAGACACACCAGGAGGCTGTGATCACAGGCTGTCCCACAAAGGAAGTTTACGGAAACATCTCCAATCATTTCTTCCCCCTTTCCCCTTTTACCCAGCCTAACAAGGTAGGGCAAAGACTGAGCAGACCCAGCCATGTACACACCCACAAGGTGACTCCCCCATGCAGCTACAGATGCTCCCATCACAACAGCTTTCAAGGCAGAGAAGGGCAGTCCTGGGGCTGACAAACAGCCCAGTCTCTGGGACTGAGAACACACCACGTGACCTGCCACTTCTCTCACGCTGCAGTTGCCCAGGCTACCAACTGTACATGCTACACTTTAGAGCATCCTGGTGCACAGAATATTAAGATGTCACCCACAAAGTAAGAACGCCTCACACTCAGAACAACAGAGCTGAGGTCAACAAATTCCTGTCCTGTTAGACCAGCAGAGGAATATTTCCTGCCTCTAATTCCTTGCTTTACACCCAGAAGCCCAAATATCTGTGGTCATTTACATCTATTCCCCACCCCACCCCCACCTTGGACCCACAAAATGTTACTGGGAAGCTTCTGAAACATTCCCTGCTTTCCAGGCAGGGAGCCATGCTTCCAGTACTTACTTTTGGACTTGAGAGTAAAGCCACGTTGCCTGACAGAAAAGAGCTCATTCAGACGGGAGGGCAGAATACTGGTACAGCCCAGTGGCTCTGCCCAACTGCAACACACGCACCACAGGCCCAGAGCCAAAAGCACAGGAGGAAACCAAGATCTGCCCCACCCACTGCTGACACCCTCCATCATGCTCCCTCTCAAAGGCCGCTTCACCGGCTTATATATCTATCTGCACAGGTGTGGACCCTACTCTAACCCTACAGCATGGGGCTGATTATGAACTTAGGAAGAATTTAATTCATTTGAAAGATTCTCCCACTCATTCAACTTCAATACCTATTTCTGCTTATAGAATGAAGATGCAAGAGGTGACAGCACAGTATTTCTTAAACTTGAAAATATGGGTGTACAATCAGTAGATAGAAGCACTTATGTGGAAAGTGAGTGCTGACAGACTAGTGGTCCAAATGCTGGCCACAAAGACAGATGTGGACAGTTTATAAGTCAAGAAACAGTCTGCTTAACCCAACTTTGTATCCTATGCTTCTTAGATTTTGGTGAACAAAGATTTTGTTATTAAAACATAAATTGTTAAAATAAACTATTATAAAAACAAAAACACAAACACAAATTGCTGGGGCCCACTCCCAGAGTTCCTGATTCAGAGGTTGTGAATAAGGTCAGAGAATTTATCTTTCTAACAAGTTCCCAAGTGATGCTGATCCCGAAACTACATTTTTAAAACATCTGATTCACATCCTCTATTCCAAGGTTATCAGGCAGCAGGTACTCATTAAGTGGACAGTAATTCCTCACTAATCAGCTATACCTGTGTGTTTACAAAGTGAGAGTTCTTTTTTTTTTTTTAAATCTTATGGAAACAGCACTGGTTATGATTATATATAAATCTCAGGTGTATAGTATTATATCACCACCAAAAGTCTAGATGCCTGCTTTTTCTACCACTTGATCCCTTCCCATCTAGTATCCAACAAACTGTTCTCTGATTCAAAGTGTTTAGTTTATGCATTTGCTCTTCTTCTTTATCCTCTACATATGAGTGAAATCAAATGGCATTTGTCATTTTCCATCTAACTTATTCCATTTATCATAACAGCTTTTAGGTTCATCCATATTAAGGCATGGAAGCATTTTATCTTTTTTTCAGCTTAGTAGTATTCCATCGTTTATATATCTGCATCTTAACCATCCATCTATTACTGATGGACACATGATATAAACAAAAAAAAATCATTAAGGAAGACACACATGTGGCCAAAAGACATACGAAAAGATGATCACGTTACTAATCACCAGAAAAAAGCAAATTAAAACCACAATGAGCCATCATCTCATGCCTTTAGTATGCTATTATCAAAAAGATAAGGAAAAACAAGTGTTGGTAAGGATGTGGAGAAAAGGGAACCTTGAACTGTTAGTGGGAATGTAAACTGATGCAACCACAGTAGAAAACAGTGTGAATGTTCCTCAAAATAATGAAGACTGAAAATGTCATTTGATCCATGTATTTCACTTCTACATATTTATTAAAGTCTGTGAAAATACTAATTTGAGATGATATGTTTTTAATAAAACCATTTAGGTTAAAAGGATGAAATTCACCAAATCTGGACATTATTAATGTATCCATGTAAAGAAAGTAATGAGCATTTGGTATTCATGCTCTCAAAATTCTTTTGTTTTATCCAGAGAGAGGTAAACTCTAGATCTTCAAAAAGTAAAAAATAACAAAGACATAAACAATTACAGTCCCCTTCATGCATCCCAACACTTACAGATTACTATAAATAGCATAGTTTGTCAATTAAATATTCAGGTAAGGCATACCCTCATTAACAAATTAACCAGCAGTTACTTTTCTTAAAAAGTCCAAACCACATTGACACATGTACAAGCAAAAGAAAGAAACATCACATTTATTTATTCTCATTTAAAAAAATCATTGTGTGAACCCTAAATTACATAAATATCAAAGGTAACGATAATCAGTACATTCCATCTATAGAATGATTCACCAACATTAGCTAATGAACTCACACAGCAAGCTTGTAAGGTCGGCATTATATCCTTGTTCAGTGGATGGAGAAGCTTAGAAAGAAGTAGGTAATGACTTGCCCATGGTGGCCATGAGTCAGCACCAAATGCAAAGTAGACTCTATGCTAAGAACATTGCTTTGAATTATTGTCCCTTAAAAAAAAAAATACCAAAGGAAAAAAAATTACTTCATTTAGAAATTAGGCTTTAGTAAAAAGATTTTTTTAAGCCAAGAACAGAATTTCGCAAGCTAGTAATTTAAATGCCCCTTAGGTCCCCACTAATTACCACCACCTCCTCTGTGTGTTATCTTTCTAGTCAATGAGGTTGATGATAACTCTTTGAGAATAAGTGCTTTGTTTTTTAATGAGCAGGTTCTAATGGAACCCCAATTAAAGATAGTAGTGGGCATATGGATTTTCTAGCAAACATGGCTTTCCTTTTTGTTTACATAAATTAATTTTCAAATTCTCAGCAAAGCTAAAGGGGGTTGTTCCTTTGTAATCCCCAGACTTTCCCTAAATGACTTCAAAAGCTCTATCGTGTGAACGTGTTAAGTAAAATCCTTCATGAAGTTGTAAATCACTTTAAATAAAGTCTTTCAAATAATAATCTTGCACAAGAAGCTTGTTTTAGTAATTTATAGCTGAGCAGCTGTTGTTTTGGTAGCATCTTCAGTTTATTTTACTCAAAAAAATCTGAAAATGAGTCATGGGCAGATTGCTTTCTATAGTAAATGTTTTTGTATGCTCGTCTCATAGAAGTTTCAGAAAAGCAAATACATACCAAAAAAAGCACTCATTGACCATAACACAGGAAATTGTGTTGGCTATATGTTTATATTCTAATGGATTTTATATTTCCTGTATCTTTGCCATAGTATTCGTGAGTGTGTGTGGTGAAGACATAGGCTAGCAAAGTCTGAGGCAATTTCTCTAAAGCCCTGCAAAGCCTACCAAATGTGTCATCCAGGCTATAAGGTAGGACTCACTGCTTAAGTCCTTTACTCTGATCTGCCTGTGTCCTTGCCATTCAGTTCTGCCCACTGGATATGGCAAGAATCAGATTCTGATGAAAAGTACATACTAAGAATATGTTCCATGTCCTCCTAGTATTTGGGATAATGTATGCAAAGTATGTATTATAATTATAAAGTGCAGTTCCCTTCTGCAGACAGGTGTGTCATATACTTCAGTAATGCAATCATCTCAAGCTTTGACTAAGTACCTATAAAAAGAAATGGCCATCTAATCCTCTATATGTTAACTGTGTTTATTCATTAATAATATGTATATGTATCCTTTCCTGCTAATATATATTATAAGGCAGGGGACAATAGAAATTAAAAAGGCAGATGAAGAATAAACAGAAAATTCCAGGTCTCAGTCCAGTCTTAATCCTACATAAATGGTTACTCTTCCTTTACCAATGTGCTTTGTCACAACACAAACTACCCAAAATGTAAGATTGACATTTACCCTCAAACCATGACAGTTAATATATTTCTTTTCCTTCATTTTGAGTGGCACAAACTGACACCAAGATATGCTAATCAAATCTGGAAAAGGTCCTTCAACATTCGAAGAGGAAAAAAATGCAAGGCTTTTGACCCAAACATACACTGGGAAAAAATGCTTCTTTTGCACCAGTTACTTTTGTATATAGCTTTAGGTACAAAAGGCTCTGAATCAAAAACTATGACTATGGAATTGCATCAATAAATTAAAAAATGTACATAATGTAATATGATCTAAATGCTGCATAATTGCATTGTTTTTTTATTGCTTTATATTCTCTCAAATGCAAGGTAGTTATATAGAAGTTAAATTCTAGACTTTTGGTGTTATTTTTATAACAATATAATTATGTACATATTAACTATATATACATTTTATATATATATTTATATTAGATGCAATATGCACTTTGATTTAGAGTGATTGGTGGTGTTCTTTGGCACTTTCTGCAATCAGATATCATAAACACTTCTGCTGTAACAATTACCTCAGCTGTGCCTATCTTATCTTTATTTATCCCTCTTTAGGGCAATGTCCACTGTGGTGTGAATTAATCTTCACTAACTTGAATCACTACTAAACTACTTAACAAAGGCAGCATTTTTTTCAAACATATCTTAATCATTTCAGTGAGTAGAGAATGAATAGAGTCCTTCTACCTAAAGTGTTGAGTCAACCAGCAGAACAGTATCAACATCGCCTGAGAGCATCTCAAAAATGTTGAATCCCCAAACTCTTACTTTCTTGTGCATTTAACCACAGGGGATGGTGTTAAAAAGCCTTGGGGTGGGGCCTGAGATTCATTCGTTTAGGGAGCTCCC